AGGAAGGAGGACTGCGTAACAATATGGCAGACTCCGATCAACATTCCCAGCACAAGGATGAAGGGCGGTGATAAGGCCAGCGTGGAGTGCGGAGGTTTCTCATGAAAGCCGCTAAAAAAAGGGCACCGATCACATTCTAATCAAGCAAGTAAAATATTGTGACAGTGAAGGCGTGATTGGAGGATATAGGAAATGTGATAGGCCAGGGCAGAGGGCACCGACCACATTTAATTAAGCAAGTAAAATGTTGTGACAGTGAAGACGTGATTGGAGGATATAGGAAATGTGATAGGCCAGGGCAGAACGGGAGATTACATAACTGTTTAGCACACGTTTTGTCAAAAATCGGCTTCACTTGTCTCTCTGACGAGTTGTAATATACTTCTACGAATGATAAAACTCACTGGCGATGCCGGCGATACTTCTGGGAATGTACCACGTCCACGGTCCCACTTTGGAAATAATTATACATACAATGGACTCAGGACAAGGTGCGTTTCTATACGTCTTCCTACCATTATGACTAATTTGCCTAAACAAGGTCAAACAACTTTTGATTAATTAATGTTTACTTAGAAAAAGTAAGTATGGTTAAATTTTGTTTTAACTCTCATGCCTTGGTTTTATGTAACCGATCGTATGACATTAACTCAGAAACGCAACTGGTAACATCTTTCCCATTGTCCACAAAAATCCATCTTAATAATTTATAGTACTTCAACATTTGTGTCCTAAAATATTTAGCTTATGCATATTAAGACGAAGATAGTATGGCCTTATGCTTGGTTGCAATCTGTATGATGTGTTGACCTCTTCTTTTCGACTTAATTAGGGCAACAAGGGGAGTCTCGTAAAGTCTATCTAGTCTTAAGTATTCACGGTACTTTCCAGCACCGGATTGTTTACTTGGTTCATTCCCATTGACGTGCTGAGTCGAACGTCCGATGCTAGAAATTATCATGAATATCATGATGGATAACGCATAAATAGGTATGTTTAGCATACATAATTAATACTCTGCACTATTTTCTTATTTTATTTATTTGATCGCCTTGCTTTCCTCCTATCTTCAGACAGCCGTTGAGCAGCTATCCATCGAGACAGAGCCTCTGCGTGCACGCATCGAGAAGGCGGAAAAAGCTCTCACTCCTATACAACTAGCTGCTGATGAGGCGCAACGGGCATCTGCCCTGGACCAGCAAAAACTTCAATTGGCCACGGCTAGCCAACACCGCGAAGAGGCGCGTGCCTCTCTTGCCAAATCTGGTGCATCTAGAGCCCTTGAACGCCTTGCTAGCCTGCGAGCTGAGTTAGCAGCCTCCAAGCAGACTCTAGGTCGCATTGATATCGATGATTCCTCAGTAAAAGGGGATAAAGGAAAAACGGCTCATTTGAGCACGAGAAGAAGTCTATCTGAAATGATGGCTCAACCTGGCAATAAGGTAGCTGCTCTAGCTAGTGCAAACCGTGACTTGACTGAAGTCCGTCAGCAGGAGGCGAAACTAACTGAACGTGTATATGCGCTGCGCACAAAAGTGGCCGAAGAAAAGTCTCGCCATAATGTATGTTTCAAACCGTCCTTATCTATAATCTACTTTTTTCATAGTTATTCCTATTTAGTAGGCTTCGATTGTGTTAGCTTATATTAAGGGGTAACTACTTTAGTTCGTATAAGATGGAAATCTGACTTAGATTCGGTATCTCTTACGAAGGGGTACTTGATTCTTAGATGTCTTTGTGATTGACACCCATCCACTGTTATCAATTTATGTTCAGGAAATCTAACAGTTATTAGTAGAATTTGTGGTCTTAGCACAAGCCCAGTTGCGTAGTGGGCTATGCATTTTTATTTATATTTAACGGAAACTGCGCATAAGGCATTTTTAAAAGATGAATATTTATCTACTCGGATAGAAAGAAGGTACTAAATATTTATGCAGCCTAGTTGATGCCCTTATTTGGCTGGATATACTTACAATGTATGGTTAAGTTCACAGGTAGATACGAAGAGTAACTGGGATAAAATTCTTGGGGATACATTCATCTCGTATGAAAGTGCATAGGGAAGAGATTTTTCGGTTGATCTCACAAGAAGACGACGGTTGAATCTCATTTTACTACAGTCGTTTGGTTTTAATACGAAGTTCATGTTGACGCAATCCACGAGAAATTCTCTTTCACTTCGGATGAAAACAGGCTGAGCTTTAGTCCATCATATAATGCGCATCATCAGAGCTGGAACTCTTTCTTGTAAGTCTCACGTTAATAAACGCTCTATCTTATCTCATATATATTCATAGATGAAAACCAAAATGAATAGGCATAGATAGATATAAGATGGTTTGGCTAGTCACCTTCCATACTGAGCATACTATTTTTATTCGATTGTGTCCTAGCGTGTATACTTCGGAAACTTTTATTTTAAAAAAATTTATTGATGAATATGAAATTAACCTGTTTCATATTTTAAATGAATTTTTTATGTAGATGTAATATGCTTTGTTTTTAACACAGAACTAGGTAGGTTCCATAAAGTCTCCCTGTCGCTCCGACCAAGCTGCGAAAACCAAGCCAACACCATGTAGCTAAAGGAGATTGCGACTAAACGAAAGGCTACATCAGTTTGGTCTTCGTATCTACGAAATTTTTAATATCAGATCATTTGCGACTAATTGATATCAATTTTTAGCTAAGAGTTCAATAATTTTTTTGTTTTGTCGATTAACTATCCTCAA